GCCGTTTCTGTGCCTTATGGAGGTCATTGGTGATTACACCACGTTTCTCAGGTGACAAGAAGTCAGAAAACGGACATGGGGCCCGCAAGGCGCGAGCAGGGCTCGTCTCAAGCCGCTGATGCGGCTCGCCTTCCTCGTCATTCCATTCGGAAAAAGAAGTGTCAGACTCGTAGCCGACCACCTCCACACCCCCAACGAGGTCATTTGTCACCGTTAGGGTGCGAGGAGCGCGACGCTCGGGATCATCGAGCCTAGGATTTACGCCGCGGAGACACGGTCCGACATGGCACCGTGTGCGGGAGATGAAGCTGGGCTCTGCCCGTGAGCGCTGTCGGAACCAGCGAGACTTGGAGATTTCGGTGTCATTGACATAGGGCTCATTGAGCACGGAAGTAGTTTTGTTCCAGCGCAGTGTCTAACGGACACACAAGCCTCGTTGAGGCAATAATTGATTGGAACTGTATCTTAATGGGGGGAGTGTAACGGAGTTACACATACCCCGAAAACAAGTGTGTGTGTCACACGAGATGAGCATGGTGTGACCACACCCAAACAAGAATATGGTACGGGGCTGGATAGTAGTTATACATGTATTCAGATTTACAATACATATTAGATCTATGCAATTAAAATTAGGCGGCTTTGCCGCAGATAAAAAAATAAAATCAGTTTTGAATTTAAACCGAAAAGTTAATTGGCCTTGGGTTAAGGCTATACTTACTCTTGGAGTAAGCGGATTGCGATCCGCTAAACTCGTACTTGTTCAGAGTATAGAACGAGAGGTCGATGACCTAACTTAGGCTTCCTCAAAGCGCAAAGCTACGGTAGCCCCGCTGCACTAGACGTGACCGATGCTGACGAGCAAGACGTACAACAGAATTTCACCATGCACGTTGAACAGCTGTACATCGCCAAAATTGGAGCAAGGGTATGTAAGATGATAAATTCTTGCGAAAGGGTATATACGTCATCAACAAGGAAGCATCGGAGCATTGGGGTCCTCGGAAGTACTCTACAACTAACCTTCAGCGACACACTACGAATAGGAACTACAGTGACTATGATGCATCCACCGCCCCTTAGGCGCAAATATAAGTGGGAAACAGTGAAGAGAAGGTAGTCCAAGGCATAGCAGCCGAAAAAATAACAGCAGCGAGCTTCATTCGGGCCAATTTAGCTTCCAAAAGGAACCACTGGTAATTGAACAACTCGACGATACACGATTTGGAGCCCACGAAAGAAATTTAGAGGCTGTAGCAAGGAGGTTAGGAAAGAAGTTTCATATTTACAGCTCATCCTAGGCTTCATACTTACCCGCGGCAATACCTAAATGTTCTGAAGAAATCCAAGAGAGTCGCTTTTTGAGAGAAGTACCGAAGTGAAGAGAATAGCTGAAACGTGGACAAGCGGCAAAAACGAGCTACTGGTAATCGACGGCCATAGATCACGAGCCCATCGCAATTAACAACGGAGTGGTAGCAATCGAGTAGCACGCAAACCGATCAACCCGCATCGTTTGACATATCTGGTCGACAATAGTTGCCAGAAGCGCGAATGTTGTCGCGATGCTAAGAAGAGTATGGAGCTCATCATCTGGAACTGTGCACGTGCTCGGGCTTGCTAGTAGAAATTTATCTGCCATTGGACAGGGGAATGTTGGAAATTGGGGACTCTAAAAAAAAGAATCGCGCACTTCGACAAGCTCCACAACCATCCAAAACTATCTCAGCAGAACCAAGCATCGACCACATGGATGAGGTCGATCAGTATAGGGTAAGATGTCGAGTAAACCATACAGCATATGCATAACAACTATCTGGGTACAACGCAATCGAGTCGTTTTTCAGCATGAAGACTAACAATCGAAGGACGTCTACATGAGTTCAGGGCTACCGGCGCCCAGAACGTGAATGGGACGCGTCTTCTACTCTGCAATACAAGAGTTAAAGAACAACCCCCCCAAGAGATATCCCCCACATAGAACAAGCTTCGCTCATCTCCGATATCCGAAGGTTCCAATGGTGATTACCAGGCTAAGAGTCAATAAGGTATCTAGTCGTCGTCTGCCACTCTCTTTGACTGGCCGTTACCATAGAGCAATCAAGGTCTTCCTATACTTATGCATTTACAGCTACACCTTTGGCCATGGCGTTAATTTATTCAAGCTTTTCGATGTAAGGATGAAAAGAAAGTTGGACCTGATAAGTAGGCAACGTGAATTCGGCAAAAAGGAAGATCGGAAAGTTTACTCACGGCGGGACTTGAACCCGCAATCTCTGCCTTAGGAGGGCAGCGCCGTATCCATTGGGCCACGCGAGCGTATAAATTATGGGTAGTTATTTAAGCGTAAAAATCATGCGTAGTAATTTTAATGTATACAAAATTTTTATTATATGCTCTACGTATTGTACTAATGGAATTGTTATATAAGATATTAAGTAAGTAGTTTCTGATTTGAGTCTATATTATTTGCTCATAACAAAAATATTTTGGTGAAATCGACCATCTTGACTAAGGTTAATGTTTGAGATTCGGTTTCACTTATTAGATGGCTCTCCCCGACTTGTGTGTCTTCTAACCTGACTACTATAGTCATCTTATTCTGTAAAAATGCTCATATAGCTTTATTCCAGCAAAAATGTAGAGTGGAAGTTGCATGCTACTTTTTGGAGAGGAAAACTAGCCATAAAGACCTAGTAAGCTGACAACTGGCTCGGCATCACCTACCCTTACAGTTTTCGTGCACGTCGCACTAATAGCTAGCTGTACAAAGTGCAGACGCACATAGTCTCTTACTCTACCATCAACAAATGAATACATACTTACTAAATAATTAACCACTCACTCAATTTCCTCCGTTTTATTTTTTTACCAAAATTTTGGGCAACATTCAGCTTGGGTAAACCTAACAAAGTGTTGGTAGCTTAAAATAGTGCCATATTCCTTTTTCGGTATAGGAGGAGAATGAGCAGTGCCGTCAAATTTTGTCTTACAACAGTGGTTGAGCTCGCACACCTGTAAAATAGAAGGTTGTCATAAATAAATAAGAAGCGCTTCTAACATAGAGGAGAAAAGCTTCCGTCCGAAGATTCGAGGCCAGTGAAGTGCTCGGGCCCGGGATTTCAAACTCAGTGAAGTAAGTTGTGTATGTCCGCTCCTAAGTGTCTACATCTTTTGCTGTGGTATGACAAGAAATTGACGGCACATCAAGCTAAGAGAAGAAAATTTTGGGCACGCTGATAGGCGCAACAGCGTAAAGTTCTGATGGGTAGCGTGAGTACGAATTTCGGTGGTTTATGTTTTTTCCATACCACGCTGTTTTATATACGCTACTGTAACAAAAGAAATCATTGAATGAACAGGTGCGGAAAAATGAGTTGTTGCACACTTGGATCTATCTGACATAGATAGGGTTGCCTTTTGCACCTTCTGCCACTTATCTCATGCATTCTGGTTAATCAAATTGAGGCTTTGAAGATTTACTTGGATTGTGTTGTTATCGAAGTGGTGAAATAATGAGTGAGTTAGATTAACAAACTTCTACGGAAGGATATCGTAGCTTCGTTCGCAGCGGGGCTGCCGTTGCTCTTTCTCTAAAAAGAAGTTTGGTTAAGGTTGGTGACATTCGTTCCATACTTAGAGCCAGTATGAGGATAGCGGATTGCAATCCGCTAACTCCAAGAATTTCCACAACCTTAACTCAAGGAAAGTACATTCTTACGTTCAGAATGTGAACTGAATTTCTTTTGTTTAAGTTGCGGCAGAGCCGTCCATATCTAAAACTATAGGCTTTCCCAATCAAATAATGAAACCTCATCAAAATGGATAACTCATAGCAGTCCATGTTAGTATGGTTGTTATTTTGGTGCTTGCACTAACTCATGAGTTATGGTGACTGGCCCAAGTGGGACCATCATGATGCTAAATCGAAAGCTGTGAGATCAATGCCCACTACGGATGGTTAGTGCGTGATGAACCTTTATGGTCAAGACTGCATATGTCTGTATATTAAAGTGTGTACTTGTTTTAGGTTCGCGCAAAGAATGAGTTGGAGTGTTCCACATACCTTAGGATGGGTTGGTAGCTTTAAAATCATGTTTATTATATTGCGTGGCTCGCAAGGCAGTTGAGCGTGGGCCCACACAATTGCGTCTAACATTAATACACTTACTTCTGCATTTGCACACACAAGCACACATCACTTCTACCTCTGCCCTTCTTATATCCTTTAGTCCAGCCACGTAGTGAATTCTCAATACGGTGTAGCTACACCATCTTGTGTGACGCACCCCTTCATACCAAGGTACGTGTAACCCGTTACACTCTCCCCCATCAAATTTGAGGATTCCCACAATTCACATTTAACAGTCGCCTCGTATGAGGCTTCGTGTCTAAGACACCGTTTCATCCCAAGAACCTTCTGCGCGCATTCTCTGCTCAAAGAGCTTTGTGTATAGGACACAAACGACACTTTGTCTTGCTGATTCGAAGAGCGCCCGCGGGCAGAATCCTTCTTCGTCTCCTCCACGCGGTGCAACTTCGGACAGCACAACCGCAGCTTCACGGGAAGCGCATCCCAAGCCCTCGGCAACCGAGCACCATGCACCGCGCCCGCCTCGGGCAATGGATTTTTTCGTCGAGGACTTGGAGGAAGTCGATTACGTGCGCCAGCGGCGCGACATGAGCCTTGCGGACACCGCGTTTGTTTTCCGACCTCTCGACTTCCGGGGGGGAATCACTACCAAGTGCCTCGAAGAGGTACAGGAGCAACAGCTGGAGGCTTTACGCATCCACGGCCGAAATAGACCCTCGTATAGAATACGGCTTTCGCTCAGCAGATTTTGCTACTGAAGCGAAAGACGCGATCACTCGATCGTTGGGCGTTTACGTAGTCGGGCCCCCGCCGCTACACAAGCTAAGCTTGACCAACGAGAAGCTCTCCGAGCTCGCTTCTTGGTAACTCAAGAAATTCCAATAGATAGGTAACGCGATCGACTTTGGGCTCAAAGATGAGGTGCTCCTGTACCCGCAACACCGACGATTCCTGTGGTGCTCGCCCCTGGCGATACCGCAGAAGCTCTTTGAGCAATGGGTGCAGCGACACCGGAAACTCTTCTCGCTGTCTAACTTAGAGCTGAGCCACAAGAACGTACACGTGCGCGAAGAACGCCAACTTCGGTTCAGATTTTACGCGCAACGCCGACTTCCTTCGTGTTGTCGCCCTGTGACGTATGGATTGATCCATCACGATCCCGCGAGCTCTGCGGGTGATTCTAAGACCACAGCAGCTCAGAGCCATAGATCGAGCTCAGCCCATGGCCTTTGGGGTTATTGACGAGAAGAGCGGGGCGTACGGCGACGCGCAACGTCATGATCCCTCTGATTATAACCGTCCACGACGTCTGGGTAGTCTTGCCGAAGTGTTACTTCAGACTTTCATGAGTTTCGGATTCTGGGTATCCCTATCACTTCACAAGATACTTAATTTTGACCCTGGCGACAACGTCGGCCCATAAGTCATTCCACGTGATGGTGGACACCACCGTTCTCGTCGAGAATAGGTGACGGCGGACGATGACGACTTGATTGATCGCCGTCCGGTGACTCGCGATGCTCTTCGAGCTCTTGAGGAAAGGGCCCACCGCGATCGGGACTCCGCTGAGCAAAATGCTGGGTCGCATACCGCTGTGCGGAAGAGCCAGAGAGTTTGGAGCACTTTGTGCACCAACTGCCTCACGTTGAGGACTACTGCGCTCTGTCAGAGCGGCTCCTAGCCGTCGGGCAGACGAACGCGCAAATGTGGAGCGCCTGGCGCTGTTGGAGATGGAGATCGTTGCACTCCGTGCTCAAAACCAGTTGCGGATCCAGCTTCTGGTTTGTTGAGTGCCTGCGAGCGCCGCCCCGGCGCCAACGCTTCCGCGTTCATTTGCGCTAGATCCATGTACGACTTGAACAAGCCCACATAAACGCCGGGTGGGTGCGCATCCTTCTCGAAAGGTTTGGCGAATATGCAAGGCTGCGCTTGGCCACGACCTTAAAAGGTCCGATAAAACGTGGACGGAGCTTTGTCTTAAAGACCGCAGAGATGAATGCGTAGGGAGCTTTTAATATTTAATAAATCAGATCTCCGATCTTAAAGTTTTCAATATCTTGCGCGCCCACCGTCTGCATGTCTTGGCTTTCAGCTATCGCATCGCGAACGTGTCGTAGGAAACTCAATCTGGACGACAGGAAATCATCGACTTCCTTACAGGGAGCTGACATCAGCCAGCCATTCGGCTATCCCCCCATGCCCTGAGCCATGAGATGGCAGCGTCAGCGAGACGCAAGCATTAACAAGCCCGCCCACGTAGAACGGCGTGTAACCGGTAGATGAATGCATTGCATTGTTCAGAGCAGACCCTACGAGTGGCAGTATGGCGCTTCAACTTTCCGGCGTCTCAGCGCAAACGCTGCGAAGAACATACGCAAATCACGCGCTCAGTCTGACAATCGGTCTGCGGATGGTCCGCTGTTGACATAGTCAACTTGGTGCCCAGCACCCTGGAGATTGTCGACCAAAACTTCCCAGCGAAGCAGTGGTCACTGTCAGCGACAACTGACCTTGAGAGTCCATGTTGTCGAAAGACACGATCCACAAACAGCGTCGCTGTACCGACACCATCGATATTGTTCAGCATAGCCGCAAGATGAGACATCTTCTCAAACAGTCGACAAAGACCAGGCCAAACAAAAAGTCCACCCGGAAGGT